TTGAGTAATATTAAACAGTGACTTAGAGTTACAATTTTGCAATCTTGCTTCAGTGAAGGTGCTGAGTTTTATCACATACAGTAGTTAATGTGTAAAATAAGCTACCTCTTGAAAAATAGTGAAAGAAGCAAATGTTATCAATTTCTAGCAAGTGATGGATGATTTTTTTTTGCAGACAGGGTTTGTGAGGACTTACTGCAGATAAAACATGGCATTAAATTCCTGAATTTTGAGACTGGAAAAAATGGAAGTAGTCCTTATCAGTCCTTTTCAGTCCTCTGCTCGTGAAAGTAGTGAAAGTTTTGGAGGTGGGCAGCAATGAACGAAAAGGAAAAACAGGATATGCTAGTTATCTATACATGGTCATGATTTATGGTTAACTATTGTGACTTGTAGCCTAATCTGATTACATTAAAAGAGCTAAAGAGGTGGTTTCCATTCCTTTGCCCTCGTCCGAAATTTAACATCACTCATGTTTGGGTACATAGTGCACCAATCTATATTATGCCACTGTCCGACTAGACATTGACAAATATTGATGGGTCCAGTACACCTTTTTTGGTTTTTTAATACATTTGTAAAATATCAGTGGTGATAATGAATGTCACAAAAGAAACTTCAGTATTCCAGAATTAGAACAACAACTTGCATGTTTAATGCCTTTTAACGTAGCAAGCTGTCCCCAGAATCCGCACTCAGTGGATATTGAGCCAAACAAGCCGACATTAGGTAGGATCACCAAATATTCCGGCAATTAGGTGGGTTTTAAGAATGCCTTTCTTACTTTCAGTAAAACCAGAGAAATTTCAAAGTGAATTCCAGAAGGTGTGGACTAGGCAACTGAAGATGCATATGGAGTGAAGGGATAGGACGAACACAAAAGACCATGATCAGAATAACAGACAGTGAGTGAGTATGGTGCAAGGAGGGTTTTCTTTTAAACATTTATTCGCAGGATATGGGTCTTGCTGGCTCAGCTAACATTACTGATCATTCCCAATTTCTCTTGAAAAGGTGATATGTGAACTGCCTTCTTGAACCTCTGCAGGCCATGTGGTGTAGGTACACCCACAGGGCTGTTAGGGAGGGAGTTCCAGGACTTTGACAAAACAAAACAAAGAAATGTGAATCTGGAAATCAAAAAAACCCAGAAATTGCTGGAAAAACTCAGCAGATCTGGCAGTGTCTGTGGAGATAAAGCAGAGTTAATGTTTTGCGTTCAGTGACCCTTTAGCTATGTATGCTGCAGAGTCCCCAAGCAGTTCACTGAAAGTTGCCACCCAGGTTGATAGCGTTGTTAAGAAGGCGTACAGTACGTTAGGTTTTATTGGTAGAGGGATTGAGTTTCAGAGCCATGAGGTCATGTTGCAGCTGTACAAAACTCTAGTGCGGCCGCACTTGGAGTATTGCGTACAGTTCTGGTCACCGCATTATAGGAAGGATGTGGAAACATTGGAAAGGGTGCAGAGGAGATTTACCAGGATGTTGCCTGGTATGGAGGGAAGGTCTTATGAGGAAAGGCTGAGGGTCTTGAGGCTGTTTTCGTTAGAGAGAAGAAGGTTAAGAGGTGACTTGATAGAGACATACAAGATGATCAGAGGATTAGATAGGGTGGACAGTGGGAGCCTTTTTCCTCAGATGGTGATGGCTAGCACGAGGGGACATAGCTTTAAATTGAGGGGTGATAGATATAGGACAGAGGTCAGAGGTAGGTTCTTTACTCAGAGAGTAGTAAGGGCGTGGAATGCCCTGCCTGCAAAAATAGTAGACTCGCCAACTTTAAGGGCATTTAAATGGTCATTGGATAAACATATGGATGATAATGGAATAGTTTAGGTTAGATGGGCTTCAGATTGGTTTCACAGGTCGGCGCAACATCGAGGGCCGAAGGGCCTGTACTGCGCTGTAATGTTTTATGTTCTATGTTCCCTGGCCAACCTCTCTGCCATAGACTTTCTGAAATGTTCCAACAAAGCTCAGCGCAAAGTTGGGAGAACACTATCCTATTTTCTACTTAGGGACCCTGAGGCCTTTAGGACTCAATACTGAGTTCAATGATTTTAGGGCCTGACCACCTTATCCCATGTCCTTACCCCTACACTCACATACCAGACCTTATCATCACATGGGCTTCTACCACAAACAACCCCTGTCAGCCACTCATGGTCCCCATTAGCAGCTACTGATTCTTCCAGGCTGGCCTTTACCCATTCCTGTGTCTGCGCAACTGCGTTTTTCTCTCTCTCTGGGCTCCATCTCCAACTATCATCTACTCCTACCCTCTCACCCACCCCATCTTCAGCATATATACCAACCATTTCCTAGCTAAAATCAGTTCTGAAGCAGGGTCACTGGACCTGAAACATTAACTCTGCTTTCTCTCCACTGATGATGACAGAGCTGCTGAGTATTTCCAGTAATTTCTGTTTTTGTGCAGGATTTTGACATTGGGCTGGAGGAAGTTACAGAGATAGGGAAACATAAGACCTTGAGGAAATTATGAACAAGAATGAGAATTTTAAATTGAGGGCACCAGGAACAATCTTCAGTTAGTAGAGACAAAAGATGCTGTGTAAACAGAACTAGGTGCAGCATAGAATACAGATGACAAACTTTTGAATGAACTGAAATTTCAAAACAGTGGAAGATTTTCTCTTCACTGTCCTAATGACTTTTAAAGGTATTGACAACTGATGGGGTACAATAACATGGGTGGCAAACAACCTCCAGTTCTCCTACCTAAGTGCCCAAGGGCCCATTATTCCAAACTCAGGAGAACTCATGTCAACCTCTACCATTATCCTGACTGAGAATTCTATGTAGGATCATTTCCACAGCTCAAAATTCTATATGAAATTTCAAATAGTCCATATTATGTAGTGTATAAACATTTCAACGGTACTCTGAAACCCTAACATTATATAGGAGCACTTACCTATAAATTAACATGAGCAGTCGGATGGAACACCATACAATGACCCCTTCAACTCTAAAGCGCTGCCTTGCATCTGGTTGAAGACTAGCATCACTAGAAGCCTGCACTGACATGCTGCAATAACATTAGAATCAATGAAAATAAAGGCCACCCTGATTATTCAAGAAGTCGGTTATCTGACTAAGAAAATAAAGCATAAATTTTCCAAGGTTGTGAGGCTTGCTTGCCTCTATCAGTTTGCATTGGATTTAAATTGAAATATACTGGGATGGGAGAAAATTAGAAACTTAAATAATCCCTACGTGGTTAGAAAAGAACTGAACGGTCAGTGTTTGCAGATAAATCTATAGCCCAGACAACCATCTTTTGCGTTATATGCGATAAGGAACAGTGCTAATATCCACAAAGAATACAAAAATCAAACAATGCTACCAAACACAAAAATGATGAAACAGAACATGAAGACAATTTTGACAAATGTACTGCTTCAGTATTATCTTAAATTTATCCAACATGTGGAAGCTAAATGGGAGAGACTTTTACAAGGCCCCAAACATAATTAGTGCCTCACGCAGGCTTGTTAGGCCAAAAGGCCTGTGACTATGCTGTGTTGTTCTTTGACCACAAGCACTAGCCACCCTTCAGCATCACTTCATCGCCATTATTCATGGCTGAGGCTAGTAACTGACAGCATTGTCAGTTATATCCATACAAATATGTTCCCATCATGCCAAGATTTGGAACACTTGCTGCTTTTATTCTTTCCTCCACTAGTAGCATTATGGGCCAACGCTCCAACCGCTACCTTCCCCAAGACCACAGCACATATTCTGTGGTGGTTAATGACAGCAAAATTGTCAGCATTCTTTGTGATTAATCATCTGAAGCCCACACATCCATAGCTAAATGCAGAAATCCAGAAATTGAAATCAGTGATTCTAAGTCCTCCTGTAAGGTACTGATGAGAACTTTACCTTTCACTCTGCCAGACTTGCGATCAAAGACCTGGATAAATTTATACCTTGTTGAACAAGGTATAACTTGTGTTTTAATGGTATGCTAAGTTACTGTTTACTGCTGTAGTTGCAGTAAGTTATACTTACTGCTGAGCACCCTCGCTGGTCCTGAAAAACTAATTCGATATTTGTGAAATTTAAAATCACTTCATTTTACACTTTTTAAAAATCACACTTCTGAAATAAACAGTTTCAGAAAAATGCTACACTGTTGCAGTTTCTTCCTTAATCCTGCATGCAAGTCCCATTTTGCCCATCATTCATGTTGCTCTCTAAGCATTTAATTAAAAATGAAAAATGCGGCATATTTTACTTCCTGGTTTGATGTCTATGACAAAACTCCTATGTGATTGGCTGCTAACCCTGCTTAATTGTGTGATGCTGGCTGCCTGGAGACCCCTTGATAGTGCACAACATTCAAATGGAACTCAGAAAAAGGGTAATCCATGCTAGAGAGAGATTACTAGATCTTGATATGTAACTTTCCCCAAGGTCAGTGGTTTCACTGTCACTTTGCCAATAACAGTGAAATATGGCAATGGTAATTCAACATAGACCTGAGACCAAAACGTATATCTTCTGCACAGTCCTATCCACCAATTCATTCAAATAAAAAGGAATAAATGAAATGTTTTCATATATAGCCTTCCACCGCCTCAAAAGATCCCATAATGCTTTGCAGCCAGTGAGGCACTTTTGAAGCATATTCATCTTGTAATGAAGAAAGAACAAAGGCCAATTTGTGCCCAGTAAGATCCCACAGTGATATGTTAATGATCAGATTACTTGTTTTTTCTGATGTTGATTGAGGAGCAAATGTTGGCCAGTACACAAGAAATAATGTTCCTCCTCTTCTACCAAATAGTCCCATGGGATCTTTGCCAACCACATGGGAGATCAGACAAGGCCTTGGTTGAATGTAGCATTCAAAACTTGCATGGTACCTCCAATAATGCAGTACTCTCTCAGAATGGAGTGTTAGTCTAGATTAATAAACTCAAAACTCCGGAGTCAAAAGAGGCAATTAATTTTGAAATAGTGTCTCTCACCTGTTATTGCTGCAGAGTGTGCTGTCCCTACGTCTACATGCACAATATTCCCTTCATTAAGGGGGAATGATTGCACAGGAGTGAAAACATGAACTTCTTCAACTTGATTAGAGGCATGAAAATCCTCAGCTGCAGTTAATTTATCCAAGCCAAGTTTGTTAAATCTGGAAAGCATATTTTTTAAAATGATAGTTATATACAATAATAAAACAAATCTAATATAGAAATGCAATTTTATGTTTTATCACTGATACACATACTTCTGACTGATTGAAGGAATAAGCATGCTCTACAAAAAGAAGCTTCAACCATTGACAGATGCTGGTCAACTACAAAGAACCAAAGTTGACATTGAGGGTCACCATATTATTTGATTTGATCAAATATTTATTTGACATGCCAGGAACCTATCATTGTGTTTGACAATTTCCAGAACGAGCTACTGAACAATCTACATTCATCTGGCTTGCAGATTTATCTAGAACCACTAATGAGGTTGCAAGTAATATCCCAGAAATAGCAGTAAGTCAGGAAATAGAAGGGAGGTATGAACTCAAAAAAGTAGTACTGAGCAAATTATTGCAGCTAATTTTCCAAAGTTCCCTCAATTTGGGCAAAGTTCCATTAGATTAGATAATAACAGGCCAGTGAGTTTAAGATTTGTCACAGGGAAGATGCTAGAAGCAATTATAATACATTATAGCAGAGAATTTAGATGAGTTCAGGATAATCAGGCAGTATCTATGTGGTTTGTGAAAATAAATCATGATTAACAGAAGAGGTAACGTACCACGAACAAAGTTGGATGCACTAAATGTGGATTTTCTGAAGGTATTTGATAAAATGCTGACAACACAAAGGTACAGTCATAAAGTCATAGGGTCATGCAGCATGGAAACAGACTCTTCAGTCCAGGCAAGTTATGAAGTGGACTTAAGGAGCCTGCAAAAGGATATAAATAGGTTAAGTGAATGGACAAAGAACTGGCAAATAGACTATATCGTGGAAAATGTGAAATTGTTCATTCTGGCAGGAAGAATAAAAAAAATTAGATTAACTAAATGGTGAGAGATTGCCGAGCTTAGAGATGCAGAAAGAGCTGACTGTCTTAGTGCATGAATGATAGAAATTAACATGTAGGTATTGCAAATAATTAAGAAAGCCAATAGAATGTAATTGTTCATCATAAGACGAATTGAAAACTAAAATAGGGAGGTCATGCCACAGTTGTACAGGGCATTGGTGAGACGACATCTGGAGTATTGCATACTGTATGGATCGCCTTATTTAAGAAAGGACATAAATGCATTGAAAGGAGTTCAAAGGAGATTTACCAAACTAATACCTGGAAGGGCAGCATGTCTTATAAGGAACAGTTGGATAAGCTAGACTTTTATTTGCTGGAGTTCAGAAGAGTGAGGTGACTTGCCTGAAACATAAAAAGATCCTGAAGAGTCTCAACAGGGTAGATGAGGAAGGAATGTTTGCTCCTGCGGGAAAATACACAACTATTTATATTATTTTAAAAAAAGGCCACCCATTTGAGACAAATGAGGAGCAAATTTTCCTCACAGAGTCTTTAGGCCTCTTCCCCAAAAGGTGATGGAAGTCTTTGAATATTTTTAAGGCAGTTTCTTGATAAGCAAGTGTGTGAAAGGTTATCAGGGTAGGCGGGAATGTGGAGTAATCAGATTTACCATGGGCTGCTTAATGGCAGAGTGGGCTACGTTGCCTAAGTGGCCTATTCCTGCCCCGAATTCACATGCTCATATGTAAATATTCCTCAGAAGTGGCAACAGGTACTAACATAACTCTTCTCAAAACAAATTAACTCAAATTATAATCAACTGAAATGTAATATTTTTGGGAGACATTGTTGAAGTTTTTTTATTCTAAAGGCACTGTTACCTGTTACTCCCACAAGCTAAAATGTGATTTTGTGTTGTGAGAATCATCGAACAGTCAATTCCACACAAAACTTTCTGGGCTTCATGTTCTGCCAGTACACACACTTGCTGAGGAGAATTGTGTGACTCCTGAGATTCCAAACCAAGGCGACCTGCATTGAAAACAGAAAAGAAAATCAAGAGCTAATTGTGTAAGAAATTAAGTTCATAAGCATTTGGTTTATTGAAGCTATGAGACCCTTAAATTTCTGACCTAGCCCCTATTGTTTCCAACATTTCCTGATAATTCACTTTACAACTTTAAACAAACACCTGAAAAAGTCTTTTATATCAAAGACTCTTGCAAGAATGGAAAGGAATAAGCTGTTTAATCATTTTTTGCATTAACATTTTTTGTTAACCAGGTAAAATGCATTGGCATTTTAAAAGATAACTTATGAATCAAAACAATACAAACATAAATTAAACATCAGACAAGTCAACAGGCTTAATTGTGTTTTTAGTTTGATGAATAATGCACATTTTAAGCAGTCAAGCCAGCTAACCACCAAGGAATTTTGTATATATCTGTATTACACCCCCATCATCTGTGTTGATATAATCAATTCAGGTTAATTGTACCTTCTGGAAAAAGGTACAAAACAGACACAATTGGTGGCAATGAACAAGGGACAAATGACATCTGAAATCACAGAAATAGTAAAATAGCTGCATATTCTTCTTCAAGAGTGTGAAAAACATGATTTTTACAGGAAAAAAAGATGAGCAATATAGACTGATAACAGAATTATGCATCCAATGTTTCTTTAAATCTATCAACAATGCAAAGTAGTCACGTTTGGTCAAGTTTATCTCCTTTGCCTTTCCCTCTCTTTAAAGCATGCGTTAAATGACTGATTTCAAGCATATAACAAAATCATTTTCTCAGTACTTTGCTGTCAGCATGAGACACTACTGTGAAATAAAAAAAAACATTAGTTTAACAGGATTGCTATTTCAAGGACATCAGTGATTAAATTACTAGCCCTCATCACGAATGTCAAATGAAAGTGCTATCATCCAATATATTATTCTGAAAGGCACAGAGTACCATTAAACAAGCAATGTAAAAGCTTTCCTAAGCACAAGCGAGATCCACAGGCTGCAATGAGATGAATAACCAGTTAAATTGTAATGTTGGAAGAGGAATGGAGTTTGGCCGCACAGCTCTTCAATTTTGAGATCACCTGCAGTATTGAAACAGGGCAGTTTCATAGAACAGAAAACAGCAGATTCCTAGATTGCAGTTTGGGTCTTGGAAGAAACCATGATTTATGCAGGCCTCACGATTGCAAGTTAGCAACAAAAGGAAAGCCTCTAGTACAAACATGTCATTCCAAACCAGATGAACTTAGAATGTTCTTTTGAAGACAAAAGCAAATACCCTCACTGAATTTTCTTATTTTGAGAAATGACCAGAATATTAAATGTAACTATCAAATCAGACATTTTATCATCGATGGTTATCAACTATACAATCATGAACAGTAATTCTAGCTTAAAACAACAGGAGAACACTGTTAGAGTCTCCAGTGTGGCAATAGCAGGAAAGAAAAGTTGGAACTTGACGGCGGGGTCAGGGGCACTGCCCTATAATGGATTTATTGTCCTCTATTGTGGACACATGTGCCATGCCTTCAAAACACTGACTGTTATGTCAATTCAGTCAGTTGCCATTCATTATGCCACCAATTTTCAACACTCTTCTTTTCTTGAAATGCTTATCCGTGCTGTGTACCTTCAGCATCTCATGCACATGCATTTTTCAGTTGTGAGCCTAAGAGGGAATATTTGGTTTCGGGGAGGAACTTTGCCTCATGACTGCTTGTACATACTTACTACTCAGCACCGGAAAGCAAACAGGAGCACGAACCCAAGCTAGTATTTTTCCTCCTTCATCACAGAATGCTGAAATCAAAGGTAGCACTGCTAATGCTGAACAGACTGGTATCAGCCTGCTCAGTAGGTAGCAGGGACGAGAAGGTGGGAATTCCTTGATATGTAGATAGGCACATTTTCATAGTGGGAATTTCATTTTATCAACTGAAGGTAGGCCGTTACATGAATAAATTTTATTAAAAATGTTATAATTCATTTCATGGCATTCTGAGCTCAACGATCCCAAGCTAGTAACACCTAAACTTCACAGCAGGAAAGAAAATCCCATTCCAGGCTCTTGTGTGCTTAATCATTGTTTCCAATCTGAAAGTGTCAGTAACCAAAGAAAACACTTTCGGAGATAACTCGCAAAAAAAAGCTAGGGGAGATTACCTTTTTTTAAGAAAACACATCAAGTTTTTATGATCTGCAATACATTGCCTGAGAGTGTACATTAAATAGATTAAATAATAACTTGCAAAAGGGAAGTGCATACAAACTTAAAAGGGAAACATTCTGCAGGGCCATGAGGAAAGAGCTAGGGAATGGAACTAATGGGTTGCACCTTCAAAGAGCTGGCAAGAGTACAATGGGCCAAATGGTCACCTTCTGTGCTGTATCATGCTATGATTCAAATGAGTCTGTCAGGTGTCCCCCTTTTTAAAGGTGAGCTACAGGAATGTATCATGACATTGTGTAGTGACCATGAGACGATAATAGCTTTCTGCTTTAGGAATCCATCTCCAAGACATCAACATCAAAACTGAAGCAAATCCCAATATAAATGAGAAATAGTGGCTGAAGGGGGGCATTGAAATCTCACTGTCCCAGGACTTCACAAGCAAGGCAAAAATGCTGATCTCCTACAAAAGAAACTGCAGAACAAAAAGACACTTATGAGGCATTTCTGGAATTGCATTAATCCTATTTGTCCGGTATGTCTAAGATTTTAACTACTAAATAAATTTGGAACCTAGTCCATCTACTGTGCAGTCACAAACGGGCACTGTTTCATGCTAATAACAGTGTGTACATGCACACATAATTCTGTCCTTAGTGACAGAAGGAGAGGCAGTAACAGGATGACAGCACTGCTCGTGGCACCCTGACCATACTTTCAATACATGGCAAGTATAAGTCGAACAGAATACTTTTGCCTGCCTATTTACTGTTTGGTACACTCACATTGGCCCTTGTTCAGTTCAGAAATTAGGGTGCCGCCAGCATTTGTGCATTGACCCTGTGTGCATACCACTGAAACTGGCTGACTTCATCTCACAGTAAAATTAAAGATTGTATCAGTGGGAATAAGGGAACCGATGTTCACGGTGTAAATAGAAAGGGGCAGGGCATATTCTCAATTTCCCATAATGCAAACAAAGAAATGTTAATGTAAAAGCATCTATCAACTAAACTAAAGGAAGAAAAATTTGTAGTACATTGCAGTTTAACACTAGATTCACATCAGTGTTAATAGGCCTTTAGGTTTTACACCACAACATTATTCTAAATAGAACGCCACCCCAACTTCATTTACCAATCAGAGGTTAACTCTGGATAGAAGGATGCTGCAAAGTTTGAGTTGGAAGCGATGCTCATCAAGCAAGAGGCATCAATAGAAAACTGGAAATGTTAAGGGAGGTGAGAAAGAACTGCTAAAGAGATGATTAGAAGGTTTTTGAAAGCAGAGCGGCAAGTGCCAAACTGCAGGATTAGAACTGAACTGCAGAAGCCAACTGTGGAACAGTTACAAATTAGTTATGCTGGCCACACATTAAAAAGACATAGGAACATAGGAGAGAAATAAGCCAGTCAATCTCCATCAAGCCTGCTCTGCTATTCTAAATCATGGCTGATCAACCACCACAACACCGCTTTCCACTCAGTCTATCATCATAGAATCCCTACAGTGTGGAAACAGGCCCTTTGGCCCAACAAGTACACACCGAACCTCGGCGCATCCCACCCAGGCCCATCCCCCTAATCTACACATCCCTGAACACTTTGGATAATTTAGCATAGCCAATTCATCTAACCTGCACATCTTTGGACTGTGGGAAGGAACCGTAGCACCCGGAGGAAACCCACCCAGACACGGGAGAATGTGCAAACTCCGCACAGACAGTCGCCCAAGGGTGAAATCGAACCCGGGTCCCTGGCACTGTGAGGAAGCAGTGCTAACCACTGAGCCACCGTGCCGCCCTATCCTATTAAGAATTTTGCAACTTTCAATTATATCCCCTACCATTCTTCTAAACTCCTGAGAATACAGACCAGTCTCCTCCTAGAACATTCTAGCCATCTCAAGAATTGATCTGATAAACCTTTGATGCACTCCTTCTACAGAAAGTCTTTTCTTCCTTTGCTAAAAGGACCAAATAATGAAAATGCATTACAGGGACTGAATTTTATTTACATATAATATTCTTTAATCTAAAAATGCAGAACAATTTCTATAATTAACATCAAATTAAAGACAGCATTAAACTACAGATCAATAATAGATAAGTCTTTCTGGAAGAATATCTTTTAAGTAGAAGTATTTTCATCCATGGCTAATTTGTACCAACAATCATTGATTAATTCACTTAATATGTTGCAATTCCATTGTACATTAAATAGATTTATAGATGCACTCACACTATTGTGATTTTATGCATAGAATTTCCTCCAGTGAGAAGATCCTTTGTACTTCAACAAAACTCACAATTAAATAATTAAACAGTCTTAAGACATCTAAGGTTTTGGAGTAGATCTGTAGCTCGGGTTGTGGGTGTTGAGGTTGGTTGGCTCACCGAGCTGGTTTGTTGCTTTGCAGACGTTTCGTTACCATGCTTGGTAACATCCTCAGTGCAGCCTCCGATGAAGCGTTGGTGTGTTTTCCCGCCAGGTTTTTGAACTCTGGGGTCCGTTGAGATGGATTGCCTCACTTCCGGTTTTCCTTCGTAGTTGTCCCAGTCGAAGTCGTGGTTCTCCTTGTCCATGTGGATTGAGATGAGTGAGTATACTCAGGGACAAGGAGAACCACGACTTCGACTGGGACAACACCAAGATCCTGGGACAGGCTAGGCAGAGACAAGCACGAGAATTCCTGGAAGCATGGCACTCCACGAAGCATGCTATTAATAAACACATTGAACTCGACCCCATATACATTCCACTACGAAGGAAAACCGGAAGTGAGGCAATCCATCTCAACGGACCTCAGAGTTCAAAAACCAGGCGGGAAAACACACCTACGCTTCAGCGGAGGCTGCACTGAGGATGTTACCAAGCATGGTAATGAAATGTCTGCAAAACAACAAACCAGCTTGGCGAGCCAACCAACCTCAACAGTCTTCAGACATTTTAAAACAATTCACATAAAAGTCTGAAAATTAATAACTTTTTGCTCCATTCAAGTTGAGGCTAAGATAGTTCAGCTTGTAAACTGCCAAGCTTGCAAATAAAGGGTTATAAGTAGAAATCTCATTGAGGTCCACAATTTGGCATTCCATCATTTCAAGGAAAAAGCCTATCTACAAGGGTCATAAAAATGCATCCGTGTGTAGCATTAAACGGCCACGGAGTATTGTCAAACAGGTTTCCTTGTTCAAAGCCAAAGAAACAAAGCACGGTCTATCAGACCATATCAAATGCACCATGGCTGAAGTTCTGACAGAAGTCAATGTTTGATTAATTGGGCAATTGATGAAAAGGGGCTTTCATTTAGCAGCAAACTTTCAGAAAATTGTGTTAAATCTAAGAGAAAGTGATTGAACATTATCCAGCTTTTTATAGAGGTTTTTATATTTCAAACACAAAAAATTCTCACCATTGTCTCCTCTTCCCCAAGAGAACACTTCACGGTCATTGGTTACCACCAAAACATGTGATGCCCCACACGAAACCTGGGCAATCTCATATCCGAGCAGTGCCTCAACAATTTTGGGCTGTGGGGAAGAATCCAGAAACAAAAAGATCTTAACACATTAGCTGTGAAATGCAATGTTCTATTCGTTTTTGAACAAACTACGGATGTTTGTTTCGGCCTCTCTTTCTTTTGCAGAAAACATCAAAAGTAGTGCTGCAGTCAATGCAAGAAACTGTTTCTTTTAAAGTATTTTGTCACTTATTATCATTATTCCTCCTTACTCCTCTTCCTCAACGCAATAACTAAAAGTCGGGATATAATTCCACAGGCAGTAGGTATCCATTGGTCTCTTATGTGAGTGGTGCTTTTGTGTGTAACCCATAATGACAATCTGCAATTATGCACAATCTATGCACTGCTTGCTGGAACCACATAAAACTTGGTCAAGAACATCTTACAGGAAAGACGTGGTAAAGAGAGGTTTATAGAAAGAAATCCAAAAAATTATAGCCTAGGCAGTAAAGGTGTAGCTGCCAATCTGGAACAATGGCATAGAGTATGGGTAGGTTGTTCTATAAGGCAACTTCACCACCAAGTCTGAATGCTAAACGGCAACTTCATCAATAGAACTACAGCAGAGCAAAAACTCAGACATTCAGGAAAGGAAAAGGGGAGATATAAGCAAGGAAACAAAAGCTACAAGCATAAATGAAGAGAGATGTGGAAGAAAATTCAACTTACCTGTGTCACATCATTGAAAGTGCCGTGACCTAAACAACCATTGCTACCATTTCCAAATGACATTATTATCCCTCTGTCTGAAAAAGAATTAATTGGGCAAATGCGTAAGACACAGGTTTCACCTTAGAAGTGCCTAAATGGGAAAGTCTTCCTCTACATATTTAACAACGTACAGCTGAAAATATATGGATTATGTCTAAGCTTTCTTGCTCTTATCAGGACAATTTGCAAGAAATACCAAAGTAAAAGGAAAAGAAACATTTATATTGTACAAGAGGGGTTGACAATCAGATTCTGACTGATAGGGACACTGCCATAGAGAATGTATCAGTTATATAGTAACTAACAGCTAACTGCCAAACTTTATTTAGATTTTAAACCAGGAAGGTTGACTCTGATTAGCCAAGACATTGCCCTGAGAAAGGAACCATTTTTGCTGTCACCTATTTTGTTTCATTGAAACAGGAAAGCATGTATACATGTTCTTTCTGTGTGCAAAGAACAAGGTCCTGTGTATTAATACATATAGCTTTCAGCACATGCAAATGTGCCATACTTCAAGCCCAAATGACCATCCTAAATTGGTTTGGATTTTGTGGGTCCATCAACATTATTTTCAAGTATTAGAAACAGCTGAAGCAACTGTATATTGTCTATTCTCAGCTTCTGGATCTATGTTTCGTTTTCTTCAAGTTGTCTGAACTGCATATCTTTATCCTCTGAACTCTGATGGCTCTGTCTCCTCTTATATAGTTTCAACAAGACATTAGTTTCCAAAGTCAGTTTCAGTCTTAGTTTCCTTAACAACTAAGAGTATTAAGTTTCTTTTCACAATTGGGATCTGGCTCAAAACAATACAAGCTTTGGCCACAGATTTCGTCATACTATATGCTGTACTTCTGTGTTTCTCACAGGAATCACTGAACAGCAAGGAGAAATTGCAACCCAAGCTATTCTAAATTCCAAGGCCAACTGCCAGCTTCCCACTGCCATTTCATCCATGGCTAAGAAACTGAACTCAGACCTGGGAACAAAATGCACCAGAGTTGTGATATTATAAAGTCAGTCAACGTGAGCTTTTAGTACAACATTAAGCTTGATTAAGCAAATTGGATTTCCACCAATTTGGGGGCATTATTTTCATAATTTGGAAAGTTGCAGTTTCAAAACACGTACTACTCTGGAGGAACTTTAACTTGTGCAAGGCAATAGTGATTTCTGTATTATTGAATTGTATAAGTACTACTGTGCTGAAGCATTTATTGCAAAAGAGAGATTTGCAAGTGAAGTATATCAAAGTACTAATGTTTTAGCAAAAACATTTGGGTTTCTAAGGAAAAAACCACAATAAATAAGCTGAGTGAATAAGAACTATCGTGGCAACAATAACCTGCACTGTGTCTAGATTGTGCTATACCGTGAAACCATTTGAACAAAAAGAAAGACTTGTATTTATATAGTATTTCATCACCATTGGACCATTTTACATGAAGCACTTTTGAAGTGTCAACCCTGTTATATGAAATGCAACAGCCAATTTGTGATGGCAAACTCCCACAGACTGCAATGTGATAATGATCAGATAACCCACCTTTGTGATATTAGATGAAATATAAATACTGGATAGGACAAGAGGGAGAAACCCCATTGCTCTTCTTCAAAATGGTGCCATGGATTATTTTACATCTACCAGAGCTGACAAATAAGTCTTGATTCAATGTCTCATAAAGATGGAACCGCTAATAGTAGAGTACTCCCTAAGTACTGCATTGAAGTAAGGACACACTAAATTATTAAACCTTTTTTCATGGAAGGCAAGTATTTTAGTCACCTGCATTATCCTACCTGTAAGACACGCTGTAAAAAGGTCTCCACAAGAGACATGCTTGATTGCCACTCCAGACTGACCTTCCAGAAACCTAGAGATAAACTGGGGCTGGGTCTGTTCTATGGAACCAGGGAGAGATACATCTCCAGTGCCTACAGGAGGAGCCTGAAAAGTAGTAGAGCCAGTTAGAAGTAGATTAAGCACTAATGAGGATGCTGCGTATTATCAAATTTTATTGAATTCTGGAACAGTAATGTCACATTAACTTTTTGTGTACTCTGTACTCATATGTTTCACTCAGCAATTACTTAAAATGCAGAAACAATAGGAGAACAATCAAGAATCTTAAGGATTTTGTGAAGAAACAGTGGTGACCTGCTCTGAGGAAAAATGAAACTTGAAACATTGTGCTGGATCTTACCATATGTTGGCAAAGTTTCCAATTATTGAGTTTCATGGTGGGTTTCTCTCCATAAGATTCAGTGCGTTTTCTCGCACTATCATCCCAAACTCACCTCATTAACTACTTCAGAGAAAGTAGGAATTGCAGATGCTGGAGAATCTGAGATAACAAGGTGTAGAGATGGATGAACACAGCAGGCCAAGCAGCATCAGAGGAGCAGGAAAGCTGATGTTTTGGGCCTAGACCCTTCTTCAGAAACGTCAGCTTTCCTGCTCCTCTGATGCTGCTTGGCCTGCTGTGTTCATCCATCTCTACACCTTGTTATCTCATTAACTACTTATCCTGTTTAGTTATGTTGCCTCTTTCATCCAATGCTAGCTTGATTTGCCCATTCACTGTGGTCAGTACTTGCCATTGTTGGGATCTCCCACAATATACCTACACCCCTGGCACGGTGCAATTTGTGGAATGGCATTGCACACCTGGCCAAGCACTGGTAAGTCTGGAACTACCCTGTATGCTTACAGAGATTCATTCTGGCTATAAGTGAGAAGGCAAGATTGGGGTTCAACTTTGTGGATAGGGACCAAGCCGTCCGAGTGAAGGGGATGCTACAGAGGAGGGACATCCTGTTTCCTCAGGACTGGCCATGTCATCAGATTCTGCCAGCCTGGCCCAAGGTTGCCACCTGGATCAGGGCAGACTCTATGGTCCAGGGGAACACCCTGCAATACAGGAAGAAGGGCAATCATCTTCTCTGTTCCACCAGGCTAAGTGTCAACATCTTCTTCCTATTGCTTCACACTACCTTCGCTACTGCACCCACACCCTGCCAAGGCTCAAGCTCTCCTATTCCTCATTATTGCATGCAACAGCCTTCCTTATTTGCTTTTCCCAACTCCAAACTTCCAACTGCTCCCTCCCCACCTCACTCGGGTCACTTCATCAACTTTCCCCCATCTGCACGAGTGCTAACAGCTGTGCTACTCACTTTCACCTCAATCAATCCCTCCCTTTTCAACTTCACAAAAGAAAATGGGCCATAACAGGGCAAAAAGAGCCTGGACATTAGTTGGGTGCTGAATATTTAACTCCTCACTCCCTATGAGAGGAGAGGAACTGGGCTCAGGCAGCGAAGACCAGGATGGATGTGGAAACTGCCATAATCCAACACCCAAATAAGAAGCATTGTTTGTTGTGGTGTTACTCTCCAATTACTATCACTGGGAATTTAATGTTAAATGCCACAATTCTTACCCCTTGTTAGCGATCATTCTCTCCTGCAGGCACCAGCAAAATGTCCATGGTGTCTGCCATCAAGATATGCACTCCACAAGACATGCCTTCCTCTACTTCTGAGAAGACAGCATGGACTCCTCAAAGGAAGCACTGGCAAGGCTCACGACTGGCACCACCCAACAACTGAGATACTGACACCTCAATGGGTATATTATCTAGATTAGACTCAGGAACATCAACTGGTGAGTACTTCACTGCCATGCCTTCGCAACTGGCTGAGGAAGAAAAGAGCCAAGTTGCTGGCAGTCAGAGGACTGCCAGAAACCAGGCATCTTCTCAGTCCCAGACAGGAGAGGACCCCATGCTGTCGGCAATCAGTCTGGCATGCACAACCTGACACAGAGCAATTGGAAGATTTGTTGGGGGCACTGGGCAAGCTAACACAAAGACTACAGGACTGCAGCGACAGGACCATGCTGCCTCAAGCATGTGACTGTAGTTTCCTCCTTGGACAGGTTGGCAGCTTCTATGGAGAGGCAGGTCCAGGAATCCAAGAGGCTATTGGATACACACACAGACCTGTACTCCAGGTACCCTTATTCACAAGGACCGTGTCAATAGACACCCAGCCAAAGAAGGAAACAGAAACATACTCCCCAGAAGTCTCTTCTCAGGGCACATAAGACTTGGCCAGTCTTCCACCTCCGCTCTGCCTGCTAGCCTTAGCCCTGTGGGAGGCCAAGCTGAGGAAGGTGCACTTGCCTCTGGGCAGGAAATACTCAGCATGTCTGGGCCTTCGAGACAAAAGTGAACTCGGGTTGTCCAAACAAACCTTCAAAGCAAACAAGATTCACTATAGGCCAAGTTCCCTCCACCCACTGCAAATCCCAGGACTGCACTCAGACATAGTGACAGGAAAAGAAAGGAGACAACATTCTGAGGGCACATAAGTGGCACAGATGACAAATCACTGTAAATACGTTATCATATCTGTAAATATAAGATCACTTTTCACCACCATGTGTGTGTGAGCCTCTGTCTAGCTGTGACTACGGCATTGAAGGTACAGGGCCTATCCATCTTTAGTGCAACATAATGTTCTACGGTCCAAGGTGTGAAGTGAACAGCTCCTGCACTATGTTCAAGCAATCAGTAAATCACAAGTGACTGCTACTTTGGCAACTATGCTCATCTTTCAAAGTAGATAAACATTGTTACTACATTACACGCAGTAGTGGTATGCCTTCATTATTTCTGCATGATATGGTCAGGAGTGCTTGGGGCAAGGGTTTTGACTGAACATTTAATGCTAAGGTTCACAAAGCAGTAGAGTTTACATGTGTGTTTCATCTTCATGTATCAATGTCTGTGAGTAATGCTGTTGCCCTTTGAAGGGCCTCACATTGTTAGAACTTGAAGACCCCTCTGTCACAGGAAGAAGTCTTTAATTCACCCATTCAGAGGGCATCACAGCCATTTTCATCTTCATTGTGCACTTGTTAAAGCATGATGGAATGCAACAGCACTCGGTCCTTGAACAGTGAGTATCAAGCACCACGTGTTTCTTGGTGAACCCCAAATGTAAACAACCCCTCCCTCGTAGTATTCCACCCCACCGCCCCACCATGGAAGTAAAAGTGCTCTTTACCATTGACAACACTCCCAAACTTTCACAAGAGCTGTTTCTCTCTCGTGCTCTATCATCTCACCTACTTATATCTTGAGTTTTCCCCCTCTTCAGTATTGTAATCTACATGCCAGCATTCTAATTCAATACCCACAATTCAGTTTCTCAGTCTCCCTCCTATAGCAGTGGTCCCTAATAACCCCCCTCTAACCTTTTAGAGGATGCTTCCCCAGGATTTACCATGGCCTACTCCCTTGAGCATCTTAGCAAGACATCTTCAAATAAAGAGTGACTAGACCCGAGAGTGACATCTGTACACCGCCCTGACTGTTTCTTGTAACTCCCCGGACTAGTTGCACTGGATTCACGGGCTGACGTTAGGCCATTCCCAAACAGCAGAGGTATGGACACCCAGATCATGATGCCCCAACCAGCCAACTAATTGTGTCCAAACCCCTAGATATTGGAGGCTGCCATTGACTTACTATGCCAGGACGCCCTTATTCAAGGGTATCTCCCTTGACTTGAGTGAGAATTTGAGTCATGGCCATATGTTTGACATGTACGCGGCCAGTACATGGTGCAGATGTGATATTGAAACGGCAGTGTGCCGTACTGCAACATGTCCACACTCTTGACTGATTATTACTGACAAGCATGACAAACTGCCTGATTTTGTGTCTTTGATAAACTGTAAGGCCAGGCAGAAGTACTGTGAACTTGTGAGGCTGAGGGGACAAAGCACTAAAAGGCAAAGCAAGGCAGGGTATTGAAGTAGGCACCAAGCACCAAAAGAGCAGGCAAGCAACTATGAAATGAAGCCTGGTCAAGTCTGTGAAGTGGGTGCTTGTTTCTGTGCACAAAGTGTCCCTGTAGCAGCAGTGTAATGAAAGGTGCCGGTGCATTCCAAAGTGCAGCATGGCAGCACAGAAGTGTACTGTAAGTGGATTGGAGATGTGCCATGATGATGCAGATAGGGTACAACATGTCAGATGCTAGCATCCATGAACATGGGGTGCATGCAGTCACTGCCCATACAGACATTGGTGCTGGGTGTCCAAGATGGAGGTCCAGAGGAGCCGCAGTTGCCAAGTAACCACTCTAATGTTCGTGCTGGGAATTCTTGGTGTCTAGTTTCTTTCTGGCGATTGGTGCATATTAAGCAGGCAGGATTAGTAATAATGAAGGGTGATAATGAGCGATAATCTCTGTAAATAGGTTTCTTACCACGCACTATAAAGAATCTTGTCTCAACATCCAGACCTTTGTTGAAAAACATGACAAGCATTTGACAAGATTCCTCACTGCAGGCTGGTCTAGAAGATTAAGTCACATGGGATCCATAGTTATTTAGTAAATTGGATACAAAATTGGCTTGTTATATAAGACAAAGAGTTTTTATGGAGGGATATTTTCCTCACTGGAGGTCTGTGACCAGTGGTGCTCTGCAAGGATCAGTGCTGGGAGATTTGTTTTTTGTAATACGTATACAAAAATGATTTGGATTAAAACGTAGGTAGCCTGGTTAGTAAGTTTGCAGATGACACAAAAAATGGAGGAGTTATGGATAGTGATGCAAGTTGTCAAAGGATAAAGCAGGATATAGACCAGTTGGAAATTTGGGCAACAAAATGGCAGATGGAATTTAATCCATATAAGTATGAGGTGATGCATTTTGGGAGGTCAAATGCAGTAAATAGCAGGACTTTGAGAAACATTGATATACAGAGCGATCTTGGTACAAGTCCATAGCTCCCTGAAAGTGGCAACACAAGTGGAGAAGGTGGTAAAGGTGGCACTCAGCATGCCTGCCTTCATCGTTTGGAGCATTGAGCATAAACATTGGCAAGTCATGTTGCAGCTGGATAAAACTTTAGCTAGATCACATTTGGAGTAGCATGTGCAGTTCTGGTTGCCATACTATAGGAAGGATGTGGAGGCTTTGCAGCAGGTGCAAAAGAGCTTTATTGGATTCTATCTATATTGCAGTGTATTAGATAAAAGGAGAGGTTGGACTAACTTGGATTGTTTTTGCTACAGCACCAGAGGCTGAGGAGCAACCTGATGAATGTACATAAAATTATGAGAGGCATGGATAGGGTAGGTGGTCAAAGGATTTTTCCAAGGGTGAAAATGTCAAATAATCGGAGATATAGGTTTTAGATGAGGTGGGGGGAAAGTTTAAAGAGATATGAGAGGCAAGTTTTTTTACACAAAGGGTAGTAGGTAGTTGGAATATACTGCCAGGAGAAGTGTTTAAAAGACGTTTAGACAGCCAAATGAACAGGGAGGGAATAGAGGGACTTGGTCCTTGTGCAGGCAGATGGGATTAACTTTAGAATGGTAACGTGATCAGACATGGTGGGTCAAAGGGCTTGTTCCTGTGCTGTACTGCTCCACTCTCTTTGTTCCAAGCATCTGATGATTTTGTAGAATTTGTAGACCATAAATAATTTTCCCTTTACAAATTTAAAATTACAACTACATTCTAAAGACTTGAATTCATTACATAGAATGTATTGCAAATAAACAAGTGATTTGGCCCAAACTGCCGATACCAGTGTTTATACTTCAAATGAGCATTTCCCATTCTGTCCCTGTATTGTTCTTCTTCCACATCATATCTCCTATAAATTTCATAAAGTACTTTGATTGGATGGTATAACATAATCTTATATTTCTGGCATTGTTTGAAGGAAATGGCATGAACTCTTTGCACTTTGTTGAATTGTCCGATTGGACCTGTGACATTTAACTGAACCACCAGACCTGCTAGGCAGTACAACGCCTCTTCTGAAGGGCATTACCTCTAAAGATGCAAAACTCTTTCACGATTATACTCACACTCTGGAAGGGGGTTTGAATCTGGAATATGTTTACTCACTTTAAGTACTAGTAACTGTAATTTACATTTTATCACAAGGTTTTTTTTAAACCTCTTAGACATAACTGCATTTGCAACATTTCTAAAGCTTACCTCCCACATGATAAGTCGTCCTGATCTGGTCACTCCTGCCTTTTGAGTTCTCCCAGCAGAGACCTGTACTACCTCAGTGTTGAGCATTGGCAGCCTGAGAGGAGAAATGATTCCACTCCCCCAAGTATACACAGTAGAAAGGGGAAGAGGTATCCCTGACTTAGTGGAGTTTAAAAGGAATCCACCTGCCATCACAGAAAGTACAAAGAGGATATAATATTCTGTCTAAATACATTGCAATTACAATATTCTTACTAATGTAGGTATATTTTAGATCAAATATTTAATACATGATAAAACATGAATGAATCTTGCTGGCGAATCTTAGTGGCAAAAAGTACAACATTTTCAGTAGCAACAGTTCTGAAGCTGCAGTGACAGTGTCTTTGATCCGCTTTGTCATATTTGTGTTTCCTGAATGACTCCATTACTTACACTTTCATTAATCTGCTTAATAGATATTCCAACTGCTAAAAATGCTGTGAAAAAAAAATTCTGGCACAGGTTCTAAATTTGCTTTCTTTTTACAATTTGACTCTTTGTTCCCAACTCCCCTCCATTCTACCTTAACAGCTACATGTTGAAAAGTTTAGAGAATGGAATGCTATCTAATGCAATTTCTGAAGATTGTCTCCAAAATAGCAGGTTTCTTGGCTAAAAAGCCCAAGTCACTCAGGCCTTTTCTCATAATTCAGATTCCTGAACTTGAATGTCTCCTGTTCACCCAAAAGCAAGAATTGAATATGGTATAAAGGTCAGTCTGACCAAAATAACGGTCCTGTTTGATCACAATACCCTCTGACTTGTATTAAGTTCTCCAGGCTATCTAGTTCAATATTCTGTCCTACTTCAGAAAACCAGAGCAAAATTGGGAGATTGCAGAAATGAATACCAGATTAATAGAGGGAAATGTAAGATGAAACATTCTCATAAGTAAAATAAAGAATTGAATGGTAAATCCTTTTATAGCAGCAGAGGTGGAAGCAGATTATCTACTGATCCTGAAAAGCTACTTTTAAAGCATAAGGACTACCTTCAAGACCCAGAATACACGCAGACTTAATCCTTCTCACTATATGTCTATAGCCAATATTCTCCTTCTCCCTCACCGCACTTCTACGTGACCATGTAAATGCAGTGCGCACACAGTGAGTTAAACTAAGACAATCTCAAATGACACCCTATCCCCAGCCAAAATGGAGATTATTGAGTAACTCCCCTCCCTGTCAATAGTGTCTGGAGTTGATTTTATGTCCATTACATAATAGAATTATCCTCCACTAACTGTATCCCGCTTTTATTGGGAGACTTTGGTGCAGTTCAGTCATGAGTTTGCTGCAGTCCATAGAATCTAATTAAAAACACAATATATATTTACTGACCAAATAACCTTTGTTGTGAAATAGATTGCTTGCTGTTAATATTGCCATAAATGTTACCCCACCTGCAACACACTTACTGACAGTGGTCTCAATATTCACATGATTAAAAGCAAAGGCTTAGACGTTAGACACGGCACACCTCTAAATCCCTCTGTACAAATTACTCCCAGGCATTGCTGAGAGCGAAAGATCAACATGAGCATGTCTATCACAATATTGCCTGCCAGTAATATCATGTAACTAGCAGACATATGTGTAATTTTCTATTCCAGGTATCAGCTGGATATCATCCAAAAAGAGTCAAAAGAAAAGCATCTCACCCAGACCAGATCTCAATATGGAGCATTCTTAATATAGCAGAAGTGTGTTAGAAGACAATTTGAATTGCACAATTCAAATTATGAAGACGGTAGGCGTGTGGGGCAAGAGAAATAAAAGAGTAGGACATGCCTGTGTTGAGGATGCAGTGCTCACCCACAATACAGAGTTTTAAGTCCTAATCCCTGTCAGGTTGTGAAAGTAAATTCAATAAATTTGATGATTTATTGGTTAGTAGCCGTGAAATCTGTTGGGTTGTCTCCAAAACCTAATAGGTTCACTTATGTCTTTCATCCAACCTCTTGTGACTCAATGTCCCATCTCATGGTCTAACAAATTACTCAATCAAAATTAAAAGTTACTAAAATGCCCATCACCATTTTTTCAGGGCAATTGGGGATGTGTAAACAATATTAATAAGGAATAAAATAAAACGTGCTAAAATAAATAAATTCACTACAAACATTGCTTTTGTACAGTTTGAACTTATTTAGCCAACTGCTGCTGGAGATCACGAATTTTGAATAAAACAGTTCCACTTCCAGGATAGCTTTTCTTACCTCTTGACCTAGCACTGTTCACCCTCCCACCAGTCCGCCTGTGTGAAGCAGGAGCTACTGTCGATAACGGCTTTTCAATTCTGTCAAGATCAAATTGGAGCCTGCTTTAATTTCCATTCATTCCCCCAGTAAACTCATATTATTACAGTTGTACATGTGAAATTATTATTGAAAAATTACTCCGTTGTCACTGAATTTCTTTCAAAAGCTGCATAAAATAGGTACATAAAACATCTGCACTTCCAGGATGTGAACTAGTCCAGGCCACTTACCTCCTCATCTTGACACTGCCAATGTCAGTGTAGAGATTCAGAAGAGCCCGGATGCAAATCGGCTGAGCCATTATCTCACTGAGTTGAGGGCGTTTGGATGGGTCGAGGCTCAACATGCTCAAAATCAGCTGGCGCAGCTCGGGACTGTACTGGTCAGATATGGGGGCAAATGTACCACTCATGATCTTCAGCACCAGAGCTGGCAGATTCTGGAAAGGCAGTCAAAATTGAATATATGTCAAAGCACCTTGCAGAATTTATTTCCATTCATTTAACAAAAGCTTCAGGGCAAGTTGCAAAATTCTAGCAACCACAACAAACTCCATTAAATAACTTTATTCAAATATCAATGTATCACTGCAATTCTAGCCATTCCAGATTTATCTACTCCCCCATACAGAAATACCACAAGAATAAAAATCACATTTCAACCTGCATTTCATCACTGCATTAAGTTAAAAGAACTTATCTATTTTTTCCTGGCTACAAAACATTCTATATATTCTTCCAATAACATACAAATCTTAGAATTAGAATGTCATTGCCAACAATAAGATGCATTAAATATACCCACAGGAATCAACTTCTTCACAGCAGTTATCTGGTCAGCCTGATTGTGGGGATGTCTCTCAGATCTCCCAACTAGCATTACATTACCTTCCATTTATCAGCGCTTCTAACATAAAAAATCTTGCAGAATCTCTATCAAGATTTTTAATGTAAAATCTTTATCACACCGATATGCCTTTTCAATTCCCCTCATCTTGCCAAAAGCATTTTATTATAACTTCAGAAAAAGAAATGAGTCAGAAAGTTACATTTAGTTGTATCTTAGCAATGGCACTGACCTTTCTCATTCTGAACTCAATTTTCTTCCTTATTAGTAACAATAGTTTCAAAATTCACAGAATGTCAGTCATATGAAATCTGACACTTGTCATCCCAATTAGCTGCCAATATCATCAAACGACACTCTTGAGCATGAATAACCTCATCACTTCCAATAATTTTTATTACTTTGAAGATACTTTCGTTTACTCTCATGTACATAATATTGCTAGAGCAAATTTTGAGTATCTGAGAATTTATATTGTCCACCAGGACAGGTGGGAAAATTGGACTAGTAACCTGAGGATAATGTTCTAGGAATATGGGATTGGAACCCCAGCATGGCAGATGGTGAAATCTGAATTCAATAAATATCAAGCCTAATGGCAACCATTTCAACCACTGTCGATTGTTGTAAAATCCCATCTGTTTCACTAACATGCTGTAATGAAGAAAATCTGCCATCCTTAACTACTGGTGGCCTAGATGTGACTTAGCAATCTGCTTGAGTCTTTACTGTCCTCTGGGCAATCGGGGATGGGTACAAAATGCTGGCTCAGCGAGAAATGCTCACATCCAATAAACAAATTTTTAAAAACGTTCCCTCCATTACACCCATCAATGAAAGTTGCTCTGTACAGTGCTACTCTTCAATTCACTCCTTCTTCCATGGTTTTAAATTTATGTGCATCTTACAATGGTTGAATTTACTGTAAAGATGATGCTTCTTTACACAATTCAACTCGATGCTTGGCTCAGTATCAACAATTCACCAGGATTACACAACAATGCAGCAACATCATTGTCTATATTGGAACATAAAATAATCCTTATATTACACAATCATTCTTCCTTCCTATTGTAATTCAAAGCATGTCAAATATATATTATAGTAAAAAAACAAATGGAACAAGAGCAATGGTACATGATTCGTCATGCACTGATTTCATCCGCTAACTACAATCTCCAACACAAGGACATGGAAGTCTGTAACCATTTATCAAAAAAAGCAGTACTCTAACCAGTTTGTTTAGTCTAATCTCTTTAAAAGGTTTAATTCTGCATTATATTATAAATGCACCACAAAAGACACCAGAAAGTCTCACAATGTAGAGGACATCTAATTTTGTACGTGTATTTTGATGAATCAATTTTTGATATTGTACACTGAAATCAAAGATTCAGGTAGAGTCCTGATCAGGAGGCTTCACCACCCCATTCCACAGTAGAATTCTATCGTGAAATTTGATACTGTTTATTAAAAGCTTTAGTTTCTTACAGCAGCTTCAAAAGCCCTCTTCAAACTGGCCAGCTCATATAAAACACAGCCCAATGCCCAGATATCACTCTTTTGGTTGTATGGCTTTCCTTCGCACAGTTCTGGAGAGATGTAACATGGAGTTCCCACCACCTATAAAACAACAAGATCAGCTTCATTTAAGACAATATTTTCATCATTAAATAGGCCACACTAAAATAGATTGGATTAGAAAATCAAAATAATTTAAAGCAACTCGTCTGTCCTTTAGAGACAGAGGGCAATTCAACACAATTGCATCCACCCGTTAATATGATAAATTTGTTTTCATTGCCCCAAAATAGGTTTACAAGCCTATAGCTGGGTGGTTACCACAAGCCCAAAGAAAGCAGAATCAATAGCGTTAATACTGGGAGCTGGTCCACCAACACCGAGCTCCCAAAACCTGAACTAAAATATAAAAGTATAAAGTAGCAAGCAGACCGCTTGGGTACCAATGAAGATTCTTAGGTGCATTAAAAGATCAGTCAGACACACTTGTTATTGTTTATTTAAGTCAATGGAAAAATGACGGAAATAAACTTCTAAAGCAAACTGATAGGGAAGTTTTAGATTAGCCATGATCATATTAAATGATAGGGCCAGGTTAACAGGCTGAATGGCCTACATACATAGGCCTACATTCATACGTATTTTATTTGGCATTCCAAAGACCTACACAAAACAAAATGAGAGTTGATGCACATCTGAGAATAAATTCTGATACTAGATCACTGCACGGTGGCTCAGTGGTTAGCACTGCTGCCCAATAGTGCCAGGGACCTGGGTTCAATTCCACCCTTGGGCGACTGTCTGTGTGGAGTTTGCACATTCTCCCTGTGTCTGCGTGGGTTTCCTTCAGGTGCTCTGGTTTCCTCCCACAGTCCAAAGATGTGCAGGATAGGTGGTTGGCCATGCTAAATTGCCCGTAGTGTGCAGGGGTGTGTAGATTAGGTGGGTTATAGGGGGTTGGGCCTGGGTGGGATGCTCTGAGGTCAGTGTGGACTTGCTGGGCCAAAGGGCCTGTTTCCACACTGTAGGGATTCTATGATTCTATGATCACAAACCAGAAATGTTAGACTGGATTTCACACTTAGGAATGTGAATGTGTGATGAGTAGGCACTGATGTCACAGCGCCTTAATTTACAGGTCTACCTGCCTGCAGACAGCCTGTTGAATTTAGCCCATTAAGTCTTTTATTCTCTCCACAGCAACTGTCAGATTTAATAAGTTTCTCCAGCACTTTCTGTTCTATTTCACACTTTCAGCATCCGGAGTACTTTTCTTGAGAATAAATCAGATTTGATTCAGGAATAAAGTACTTATTTTGACTTGTACAGGAAATCACTTTGGCACGATCGAAGTCTTGGCAGTCTGCATGATCTACAGCAAAGAGCCAGAAGAAAGGTGCTGCATTTGAAAGGCTTTGCAAATTCAAGCTGGGTCAATGATTAAACTTTGCCAACAGCAAAGAGAACCTAACCTGTCAAACAAGACATTACAATTGGATCAGGATCTCTACAGATTCAAACAGCAAATGGTAACCTTGTGTTAGTTCAGTTAATGGCAGCAACCACACCACATCAATTCAATTCAAACACAAAAAGCAGAAAACAGCTTATCGAAAGGCAGAGATCATACATTTAAGATAATCAGGATGGTTAGAAGAAAATATTTTGCAGGGTGTAGTGAAATATGTTTCAACTATATGTGACAGAAAAGTCACTATGCTAATTTTTTTTAAAGAATTTAACAGTTGCTAGGAGTGAAGATCTTATATTAGTACAGCACCTTTAATCTATCAAAATATCCCAAGACACATCGCAAAAACATTGTAAAGCAAAATTAGATGCTGGGCTATATAAGATGTAAGAAAGCAAAAGCTTAGTCAGAGAAGCATCTTAAAGAAACAGTGAGATATAGAAGTAGGATTCCGGACACTGGGATACAGGCAGCTGAAGGCACAGCTTCCAATGGTGGAGCAATTAAAATGAGGGGGATGCTCAAAAAGCCAGAATAAGGCAAGAGAAGGGTTCAGAGATAGAGGTGATAATAAGACATTGAAACAAGTGAGGCCATGCAGCAACTTGAAATTTGAAAGGATGAGATTTTAAGTTTAGTCAGAAGTGCATATGTTTGCTGCTAATTGATTTTTATTCATTAAGGAATATATGCATTGCTGGCTGTGCCTGAATTTATTGCCCATCCTTACTGTCCTTGAGGTGTGGTAGTGACCTGTCTTCTTGAACCACTCCAGACTATCTAGTGCAGCTAGATCCATAACGCTATTAGGAGGTGTAGATTTAAGATTTTGGCCCTTGGAGAATGAAGGAACAGTCATATATTTCCAAATCATGAATTAAAGTGGTTTGGAGCACAACTTGCAGGTGGTGTTGTTCCCACGTATTTGCTTGCCCATATCCTTCTAGATGGCAAAAGTGGGATTAGAAGATGTTGCTGAAGGAACCTTGGTGAGTTGCTGTCGTGCACAGTAGACAGTACACACCGTTACTACTGAGTGTCAGTGGTGCAGGGACTGAATCTTTGCGGATGTGGTGCCAGTCAAGCGACTGCTTTGTTCTGAATGGTGTCAAGCTTCTTGAGTGTTGTTCTAGCTGCAATCAACGGGCAAGAGGAATATTCCCTCACACTTCTGACACGTACCTTGTCTACGGTGGACAGGTTTTGGGGAGTCAGAGGTCAGTTAGTCGCTGCAGAATATCTAACCCACTCCTCTTAGTGAGGAAAACCAGCTCTCTAATAAGCAACAATTACTTTTACCCCTTCAACATATAGCCAACTTTTACAACAATGTCAACTATCACCTTCTCAAGGGTAGTTGGAGATAGGCAACTTGGTGAACAACACATATATTCCATAAAGTAATAAATAAAAATCTTAAAGAGCTGTAATTGTATATGTAATAAGGACTTTAGAGTGCCCTATACTGCACTGAATAAAACTGTTTTGTTTCACGCTTTATATAGTGGCACCTTTGAACTGTTATGAAGTGGGGAAACAGCGATCTGATGGGAATATCACTGGACTGGTAATCCAGAACCCCAAGCTAATATTCTGAGGACATAGACTTGATTCCACCAAACCAGATTTAAATTTGAATTCAGTAAAAATCTAGAATAAAAAACGTTAGCCTAATGTTGACCACGAGACCACTGTCGATTATCATAAAGACTTATTTGGTTCACAAATGACCTGTGAGGAAGGAGGTGTGCCATCCTCACCTGATCTGGCCAATTTGTGACTCCAGACCAACACAATATGCTTGATGTAACTGTACTCTGGGTAGTTAGGGTTGGGCAAGAAATGCTGGCCTTTCATTAAGTGATGCCCAAATATATGAAAACATTATTTTATAAATTTCATGAATAAAGTATACTTTTGTTGGATTAGCTTTCTTGGCTGTGAAAGCAGAGCTACACCACTGAATGCTTTCCAAGTTGTAAAGCCTCTTAAATACAGCACTGATGGCATTTGTGCTCCATGCTTTGTCTCGTGCAACCTCCCAGTTTTTCAATCTCATCAAAAACAATTTTTGGAATATGTCTAAACAAGCGATTGAAATTCTGAATCAATCAATATCTATCCATCAACACTTGCAGCCAACTTGTACTTAATCTGGTCCATCTATCACTCCTGTCCTTACCAGCCTTCAGGACCTTTCTAGAGTAAATCTATCCTCACTTACCTATTGCCTCATGATTTCAAATCTCCCTCAATCCTTAAATGCCAATGGCCACTGGCTCTCCAACTCTAACCTTCATTGCATTCTGTGCCCCATCATTGGTGGTGTAGCATTCTTGAACACTGTAGTCTACAAACCTCTGTCTGAACATTTTTTTAATCTCACCAATTCCAAAAGCCTCCTCAAAAACTCTGACATCATCTTTGGTCTCCGCCAATATTATCCAGCATTTTTTTCCCCTCTATGAGCATCTTTCACCATTATTATGTTAAAGAGCTATATAAATACAAATTGTTATTGATGATGACCCCAAGGTTTTCCAAAAAGGTAATCTTACTGTGTAGGCTTTACTTTTGCTGCTTAGAATCTTCGAGATACCAAAATCACCGATCTTCACTATCATTTGATACTTATCAAGTAGAATATTCTGTGTTTTCAGATCACGGTGCAGAATAAGTTTGTTATGCACATGATGGAGGGCCAAAAGGATCTGTACAAAGAAGTGCAAGATGGTCTCTTCATCTAACAATGAGTTGCGCTTCTGGATATAGTCAGCCAAAGTACCTCCTGGAATCAAAAAATTCAAAGTGAATTAAAATACCAGCGACAGCTTGGATCATCTGAATGACTAACAATAACTCTCAGACATTAAGTCCAACAAGGATATTTCAGTGCCCTAGAATAGTTATTTAGTTAGTTAGCTATTTATTAGTTATGGGCGAATTTGCACTATAAGCAGTGCATTTACATTACAAATTTACAAGTTGCACTAAGTTGGTTACGACTTCCCCCTGCAATGTGTAAAACTGGATTGAGATTCTACCTAACTGTGAAGTGAGATGGGCTGAGAAATCTTTCTCCCAAAAGTCTCAACCAGATGTTAGGTCAGGCTCTGGGTCTGATTTTGCCTACACTTATACTTTCACTGATAAGTTAAACCATTTTGCAACAACTCTGCCAGTACTGTAAATAGATTCCCCTTCCCCATCTGTCTCTTTAATGGATTATTGAACTTTACACTTTTACCTTCCATACCATCACCCCCAACAACCCATTGTGATTTTCAGTTCCAAATACAACATATTTCCTCCTTCTAACACACTGATCGCATTGAAATCATGATACATTGTGCAATCTCACACAACAGCTCATTTAGACCACTTAGAGGCAGCAAGCAGTAGATTCAAACAAAATAACGAGAGATAAATGAGTAGTGTTTCAATCCACTGCATCAAGCCAGTCTAACTGATTGCAAGAATCTAATTAATAGCCTGGTCGGTATTTTAATTGACCATAGTGCATTGTTTAGCAAGTGCAGAACACTCTTAATAAATCTGACCTGGTCACCACAATGCATGAGCAGCTACTTAAAATCAGCTATTTTCCTTTTCATAATCAGTATTGAAAAGTCATAGATAAACATCAATTCTTTTTCTCTCTCGACAGATGCGGCCTCACCTGAGTGCCTACAGCATTTTCTGTTTTTGAACATCACAATATTTTGCTTCTCACCTAGTTCAACTAGATGGGCTGAGTTTTAAGTTATCCTATTATTTTATTTTTACATCAATGGGGTCTCTGTAGGCTTTACTGGGATGCCAGGGAACATCAAAGCAAGGAAATCACAAGCCTAACATTTGAACTTGAACAACCACACATCTAGTAAACCCTATGTTGGCACTGACCTTCAAACGTGTCCTATTGTTTAACAGATCTATTAGTTGTAAGGTAAAACTAAACCTCCTTCACAATGGTTCAATGGGACTATCTTAAAGCTGAGCCATCAAGACAAGCTTTCTGAAGAAAAAAAAGACAGAGATAGACACGATTTTTGTTTGCAAAAGAATATGGAACCAAAGTAGGTAGATGGAGCTGAGGTACTGATTAGTCATGATCTAATTGAAAGGCGCAAAAAGCTATAAAGGTCTGTATATTATACTCTGCTCCAATCCCTTGCCATAACTAGTATGTAATCCCAGACATTGACTATTAGCAGGACATTCAAATAGATGAGGCATCACAACTAATTGATACATAGCTGAAAAGGCACTACTTGATAATAATTTCATCTTGTCAATCCTTATATACCTGGCGCGTATTCCATGGCTATCATCAGTGCCTTGTCCTCTAGGAAGTTTTCATAGTATTCAATTATGTTTGGATGGTTGAGGAGCTTCAGCACTTGGCATTCATTCTGAGCAGCCAGTCTCTCATCTTTAGTCATCTGCTCCACAGGAATCTGTTTGAGGATCACCAGTTTTTGGTCAGCCTTCCGCAAACATAGATGGACAATACTAAAAAAAGATATAAATGGACAAGTGCACATAAATTTAAATGCAGTGTGCCCTTTGCCCTTCCAATTTCAAAGCCACTAATGCTATAAATCAGCAGCACCAGATTATGTGCTCAATACCATTGTGTCTCACAAGCCATTGAGGCCAAGGTATTCTGCTCTATTGCTCACTACAGTGAATAGATGGAAAATCATCTGTTGCTCACCACAGCAATGAAAACCTTCAACTTTAAAATTTAAATTACTTTTTCCATTTTATGTAATATAAATTATAAATCGAATATCAGGCTCTTGCACTTAATGTCCTGACTTAGAATATACCCATTAATATGAAATCAGAGTTAAGAAAAGTACTTTGAAATTTTCCATCTCCACAAATTTTAAGAATTAGATGATACAATAAAAACTGGGAATTGAAGTGAGTTGTCAGAATTACATGGGTCAGATGGCCTGAATTTGCGCACTATAAATGGTCCACGGCCTTAGGCCTAAAGTTTCCTGAAAATATGCATTGTTATAATGCCACACCGATACATAGACTATTATTTTAGCACATTAAACCTGAAAACTGCAGGCCTGGATTTCACAGTCAGCAAAGTAACACTGCTCGACATTGATCTTAAAAAAAGGGATCTCAAAAGATCTCACAATCTTTGTGAAGTGAATTTTTTTCTTTCCTAATGTTAGTTTGAATAGCAGCCAACTCAAAGAGATCTCCAAGCATGTATCTTGATAACATCAAGCAGATAATTATATAGAAATATTCTCACAATCAGAAAACCAGGAAGCAAATTGTGATGACACCTTTCAGTTTTAATTACATTTTACAGAGAGTGAAAGAATGATTGGGCCATACAGGAGATTAAAGTAGAAGCTGAAATTTCATGACAGAACTTCCTTTTTAAATTACACTTGTAATTTCATAATATTATAATGAAAAAATTTGACATTCTACAAAAATAACAGCTTTCAAGGGTCAGGAACACTTTTCAACAATAATTATGAACTTTGTACACTGTTAAAAATCTGCTTACACCTGAATCAAAGAGAGAAGATGGCACAGAAAGTGTGTAACTAGACTAGTAATCCAGAGACCCAAGCTAATGCTGGTGTAGGTGGGTTCAAATCTCACTATGACAGCTGGGCGGACTTGAATTAAATTAATAAATCTGGAATATCAAGTTAGTCCCAATAATGGTGAACATGAATCTATTACTCAATCTTGTAAAAATCCACCTGAATGTCCTTTCTGCTTTTGATGTTCTGGGACATAGGTTAAAATCCCACCACAGCTCTCACCCGACTAATGGTGAAATCTGAATTCAATAAAAATCTGCAATAAAAAGCTAGCTTAATGTAACCACTGCAAATTGTCATAAAAACCCATGCAGTTCACTAAGGTCCTTTAGGGAAGGAAATCTGCTGTTATTACCTGGTTTGTCTACATGTGACTCCAGACAAACAGCAATGATGTTGATTCTTAACTGCTCTTTTGGGTAATTACGAACAGGCAATAAATTCTGGCCTAGCCTACAACACCAATATCTGATAAACAAAGTAAAAGAAAACCGTTTACCTATAGCCACTGTCTATTTACTTGTAATATAGTGATTTATGTTAAGTACAGAAATCTGGTCTGTGCTTTCTGTCAACTTGGTTCTAGAAAATGAGTAAACTAGCAAACGCTGATTTTTTTTTAAAATCTTTGGAATTGTGTATTTTTTAAAATCTTCAACTTCTGTGATGACTCCAGGAATACTGGGAGCTTGATTTCCAGCATGCTATCCAAGTGAGGTATGACAGTTTGAATCCTCCTATAAGATTGTACGTTGTTAAGTGTGCCATGTTGCAAGGGATGCCGATTTTCAAAGCAGAGTATAAACTGAGGACCTATCTGCCTGCTCAGGCAGATGCAAAAGATCCCATGGGACTACTTGAAAAGCAGCAAGTTTGCTGTCCTGGCCAATATTCATCCCTAAACCAACGTCATCAATACAGATTATATTTTCTTGTTGTTAGTATAGGCTTACTATTGGCAAACTGTACCTACCAACAGAACAGTGACTGCACTTTAAAAGTCATTAAATGCTGACGTATAATCCTGAGGTTGCAAAAGGGCTCTTTCAAGTAAAGAAGTAATCCCTGTGTCATTCAAGTAAGCAATTCATGAAAGCAGATATCTGAACTATGTTGACTCCTGTGTCTGGAGTACCCTGACGTGACTTTTTACAGAATCAACTTCAATTTTTTTTATATGAACTTTCAACCAGCAATCTAGATTTTAATGACCTGGCACAATAAAAGCCCAAGTATAGCTATTCTGTTCTGATTTGATTGAAGTGCAAACATAATCCAATACTGATTTTTAAAAAAAATTTCCAACAAATTAATTCAAAACAAAGTTGAAACTTATTCAGCTAAATTAGTTCTTTATTAATTCATTCACGGGATGAGGACATTGCTAGCTAGGCCAACGTTATTGCCTCTGCATAACTTTGAGAAGGTGGTGGTGAGCTGCCTTATTGAACCACTGCAGTCCATGGCATATTTGGAAATGTACTTTTATGGAAGGAGCTTCTGGATTTTGACCCCATAACAATGAAGGCACAGCCATATAGTTCGAAAGCAGGATAATGCGTGGCTTGGAAGGGAATTTGCTGGTGATGGTACTCCTCTGCATCTGCTGGCCTTTCTTTCTAGGTGGCAGAGGTTGCAGGTTTGGAAGATGCCATCAAAGGAGGCTTGGTGAGTTGAAGTGTTGCTCCTTATGGATGGTATATACTGCTTTCACTGTATGTTACTGGTGAAGTGTGTAAATGTTGAAGGAGGTGCCAACTGTGTTGAGCTCCATGTGTTGTTGGAGCTGTACACACCCAAACACATGGGCAGCATTCCATGATATCCCTGACTTGTGGCTTGTAGAAGGTGGACAGGCTTTAGAGAAGTCAAGAGATGAATTATTCATTGCAGAATTCTGAACCGCTCATATCCACAGTATTTATGTGACAGGTGCAGTCAAAGTTGTATAATGGAGAATTCAGCACGATAATGTTACAGAATGTCTCTTGTTGGAGATGGTCATTACCTGGTACGTGGTTGGCATGAATGTTTCTTGCAACTTATATAATGCCAGCCTGGATATTGCGCAGATCTTGCTACATTTGGACAATCACTGATCAAGTATTGAGGCATCACGAATAGTATTGAATACAGTGAAATCATCGCAAGCATCTCCACCTCTAACAATGGAAAGAAAGATATTGATGAAGCAGCCTAAGAAGGTTGAGTCTAGGACACCGCCCTGAGAGTGTCTTGCTAAGATATCCTATGGTTGAGACAATGGCCTCCAACAACATTACCACATTCCGTTGTGCCAGGTAGGATTCCAAACAGTGGAGTCCTTACCCCCGATTCTCACTGACTCCACTTTTGCTGGGGCTCCCTGATGCTACACTCAAACGTTATGTTAATGTCAACAGCCGTAAGCCTCACTTCCTATTTAAAGTTCATCCCTTTTGTCCACATTTGAAATGAAATAATAATGTGGTCAGAAGATGAATGGGCCTGGTAGAATCCAAACTGAGAGTCAGTGAGCACATTATTGTTGAGTGAATGCCACTTGACAGCTCTGTCATCTTCCATCACTTTGTTGTTGATGGATTAGGTGGTTATTGGTAAGTTGGCTTTGTCCTGCTTATTGTAGTTGGGATATACTTGGGACATTTTCCACATTGCTAGATAGATGCCAGCATTATAGCTTTCTGGAACAGCCTCGCTAAAGGCACAGCCAGTTTCGGAGCACAGGTCTTCACTATTGCTAGACTAGTCAGGGACCATAACCTTTTCAGTATTTTGTGCTCTTAGTAATTTCCTCAAGAACTTAGATCAGATCTATTTGTTGTGGGATCAGGTAGTCCTGTCTATTACATGCTACATCCACTGCTTAACATGCTAGTTCTCCTGTGTTGTAGCCAGAATCCAGGGCAGGGAGGCCCAATAACTGAGGCATATTTTAGGGGTGCATTGTGCTCAGATTAGGGGCCCAGATGAAGAGCAGGAAGAGGCCCAGGATTCCTGTCCCTGGTTGTAACTTCACCAGGTTGCTATCTCATTTTTAGGTTTACTTTGCGATGTTCTTGGCATGCCCTCCTGCACTCTTCATTGAATTGGTGGTAATTGCAGAGTATGGGATAAGCCAGGCTATGTGCTCACTGATGGTGTTTCAATACAATTCTACTGCTACTGCTAATGCTGATGGCCCACTGTGATTCATGGTGTCCTGGCTTGAATTGCTAAGTCTTTATGAAATTTACCCCGTTCAGCACTGAGGTAGTGCTATACAACATGATGGGAGGTACAGTCAATGTAAAGGTGGGATCTTGTCGCCACAAGGACTCTTACTGATGTCATAGACAAGACATACTTCTATAGATTGATTGGTTACAACGAAGTCAAATATGTCTTCCCCCTTGTTGATTCCCTCACCACCTGGCATAGGCTCCGTAAACAGCCTTGTCCTTTAGGACTTAGCCAGCTCAGTCACTGGTGGTACTACCAAGTCATTCTGGGCAGTGAACATTTGAATCCAGAGTACATTTCATCCAGAATTCACTATCCACATCCCTATCCACAATATATTCTGAGACTTTGAAACCCTCACTGCATCCTCCAATTCGTGTTCAACATGAAGGATAACTGATAACTAATTAATCAGCCAAAGGGAGTGTGGTAGGTGGTAATATTGCTCATGTTTTACCTGATGCCATGAGACTTCACAAGATCCACAGTCATTGTCGAGGACTCTTATGGCAACTCCTTTCTAACTGTTTACCACTGTGCTATCATCTGTGGTGGACAAGGTGTCTGATACAATATACCCAGAAACAATGATAGTAGTGTTGTAACATAGTCATTCTCACAGAATCATACCTTACAGACAATGTCATTTGGCTCTCCAATTTTGCACCAAAGCCTGCTGGTCCATCCAGTTCAATTCTTATTTTCAGATTTTGTAGCAGTTAGATATAATTGAGTGACTTACTTTCAGAGAGTTGTTAAAAACTAATTAGTTGCTATGGATCTGGACTCATATAAAGAGCAGACAACATTAAAATGCAGATTTCCCTTCCCTAAAGGGAAACAGCTAACCAGACGGGGTTTTTACAACAATCGACAATGATCTAATGGTCAACATTAGATAATTTATAATCACAGATTTTATTAATTGAATTCATATTTCATCATCTGTTGTGGTGGAATTTGAACCTCCATCACCAGAACACAAGCTCTGGGTCTTTTGATTAATAATCAGTAGCATTATAAGTATGGCACTCCCTCTCTCTGCTCAACAATGATGTGGGCAAAGATACATTCAAAGTGCATTCTTGAGATTTTTTTTTCTTACAAAGACCAAAAGTGCCAATAAATGGTTACAGTCAAACATGAAAAACATGAACAGAAAAAAAGCTATAGATGCTCAGTACATTAGAGATTCCATGAAGAGATACAACATGTTAACATTTCATGCATAATTTCATGCTGAACTGGCAAAAAGCAAACATATGAAACAATAATGATAGTGCAAAATCAGCCAAAAGGACATTCATAAATGTGGTTTAACTAGCAGTCTTTGTTGGGTAGTTGTATGATTATTAGTATGCAAAGTGACTGCTGCTTATTGGAACAACGGGTGAGGAGGTCCACAATAAAAGCACACAAAGTACTGGAAACATACAGCAAACCCACAATACCCAAAACAGCTATGTTAACATTTAAGTAGAACTAGCCTGAAGAGAACAAAAACAAAGTTGCTGGAAAAGCTCAGCATGTCTGGCAGCATCTGTGAAAGAAAAAACAGAGTTAACATTTCGGGTCCAGTGACCCTTCCTCAGAACTGAAGGCCTGAAGAGGACTGAAGCTCTTCCCCATCTATGCTAGTCCACTGAACACAGACCAACATAAAGATCAATCTTTCTTTCTCCGAGCCCTTTAACAATCTGCTATGCAATTTCCAATACCATAGTTTAAACTTCCTTGTTCCTTCTATATCTCCATTCTCAAGTAGTAGATTCTGAATCAAAGTTCCAGGTTGAAAGCCCACCCCAGGGATTGAACACAAAAATCGAGACTGCTATTCCATCACTGTGCTGATGGAGTAAAATCTGGAAGTACTGAAGAAACTCAGCAGGTCTAGCAGTATCTATGAAGACAGAAATAGAATTGATGTTTCAAGTTCAATATCTCTTCTTCAGAACAGAAGGGGCTAGAAAGTAGTGGATCTTTCTTGCTGCTGACAGGGGAGGAGGAGTGAATGGAACAGATTGTGAGGAGAATAAAAGTGAAATACAGTTTCTACTAGATGCTGGAAATCTGAAACAAACATAGAAAACACTGGAGATACACAGCAGGTCTGGCACTGTGTTCTGAAGAAGAGTTAGACTAGACTCGAAACATTAACTCTGTTTCTCTTCCAGATTGCGCGAGTCTCCACAGCAAAAAGCAAAGGAAGCGTTAACGATGATAAAGGACAAAGTCAGAAGTCAAACGACACCAGGTTGTAATCCAACAGAGTTATTTGAAATCACAAGCCTGCAGAGCGCTGTTCCTTCATCAGGTAAAGCAATAAAGAAAATAGAAATGTAAAGCAGGTGTAAATGAAGAGCAAAGTCAACAAGACACCAACAAAAAAAGAAATCGCTGGAAAAGCTCAGCAGGTCTGGCAGCATCTGTGAAGAGGAATCAGAGTTAACATTTCAGGTCCAGTGATCCTTCCTCAGAAGTTCTTTCAGTTTTACAAAGAAGACACCACTGGGGGCATGGGGAATACAAGAAAAATGGAGGACAGAGGTCATCTTCAGAAGTTTTAGAACTTAATAGTGAGTGCTGGAAGCTGTAAAGTGGTGAAAGTGAAATTGAGGTGCTGTCCTTCAAGCTTCCTCCAACACTTTCTGTTTGCATTTCAGATTTCCACCATCTTCAGTATTTAGCTTTTGAGTACTGAAGGGGTGATGTTCTGCGAACAGTACTGACTTTGGAATGAGGTATTAAACCAAGGTCCCATCTACCCACACTGTAATCCCACGACATTATCCCCAAAAAACAGCAGGAATGTTCTCCCCAAAAGTCCTGGCCAATGTTTACTCCTCAGGCAACAGTCAAAGTCATATTATCAGATCATCTTCACACTTGCTGTTTGTGAGAGCTTGCTGTGTATAAATTGGCTATGCCTCTTACATAACAACGGCAACTGGACTTCAAAAGCACCTCTGACTGCAAAGAGCTATGCAATGTCCAGTCGTTACGTGCTATGCAAATGCAGTGCATCCACAAAATGAAAAACAAACATTTTGCCACATTCACGGGATATGGGCATCACTGGCAAGTCCAGTTATATCCCATCCCAAACTGCCCCTTCAGAAGGTGGTGGTGAGTTTACTAGACTACATCGGAGGGCAATTTAGGACATTATGAATAAGGATCGCAGATTTCCTTACGTAAAGTCATCATTGATCCAGCGTTACTTTTTAAATGATAATTTGTAGTTTCAGGATCACCATAACTGATGCTATGCACTGTGTATTCCAGTTTCGATTATTAAACTCAACGCCAAATTCATTATTTCACGATTTGATTGCGGATCATTCTCAGGAACGCAGCCAGGGCAAAGCTGCAAGCCCCACCCCGCTTCAGACAGCTGTTTAACTTGTGCCTCCAGCCAACTGACAGCGGCCATCAACTCGGGCTAGAGGAATACACAGAATCCGAACAACAATCTCACCCGAAAGCTCCCCGTCCCACCACCTTCATCTTTTGGTATTTCTCCATCACCATCTCCAAGGAGTTGGCGACAACTTCCGGTGCGGGTACAGGCAACGGTCAAACCGCCTCGGCTCGAGCGCCCGTGCGCACGCATGCGCGTTCCCGCATCTCGTGCTGCCGTTACTGCCCCGCCCAGGCTTCAGTATTGGAGCTAACCTTTCTTCTGTTTTCACCAACTCTGCAGCCTCAGGGTTGATGCCAACTTTTCCAGTGTTTTCACCAGTTCTGTAGCCAACTTTTCCAGTGTTTTCACCAACTCTGCAGCCTCAGGGGTGAAGCCAGCTTTTCCAGTCTTTTCACCAACTGTGCAGCCTCAGGAGTGATGCCAACTTTTCCAGTGTTTTCTCCAGTTC